CGCTGATTGATCGCCTCCTCCTGAACAGATACACTTACATACACTTATCCACTCTCAACATGTGGCCCGGCACCAAATGGCCCGGTGGTTGGAGACCCCTGTGCCAGATTAAAGTATGTCAACTGTTTATTGTTTTGTCAGATACATTTAGTGTATTTGGGGAGAAATACGGCACATCAAAAACACCTTTTGAACGTGTTCTTCACAAATGAGTCAACTCAACACATTGTCCACTCAATTGTTGTGTCTACAATTGCTGCATCTGTTCTGTCTCTGAAGGTGAGCCATGTCCAGTTCAGCCTCCCAGTGGACTCCTCAGCGTCCTTTTCTCCTCCTTTTGGCGTTTTGCTTCATCTCCCTTTTCATCTCGTACAAGGCCGACATCACCTACCCCGATTTAGGAAGAGTTGGTCAGTTTTGTCCTGCCTTCCTGTGTGCAGAGAGAGCACAGAGCCATGACTCAATCCCCAGCAACTCCACAGAGCTCCTCAATAAATCACATTCAGGTCCGACCGAGAAGCTCCAGGCGGCAGCAGTGGACGCTGAGCCCGACACAGTTGTGCTGGTCTGGATGTGGCCGTTTGGCTTCAAATTTGAACTCAACTGCGACATTTTCAATTTCACAAGATGCCACTTAACAGATAACAGGGAACTTTACCATAAGGCCCACGGGGTGGTCTTCCACCACAGGGATATACATGGAAGTTTAGAAAACATGCCCAAAGTGCCACGCCCCGTTTTTCAGAAATGGGTTTGGTCAAATATGGAGTCGCCCACCAACTCAGGTAAAATCACTGGACTGAATGAGCTTTTCAACTTGACATGCAACTATCGCCGTCATTCAAGTATCCCAGTGCCTTATGGGTATCTGTATCCCGTGACCTCTGCAGAGGAGAGTTTTAAATTGCCAGCAAAGGACAAGTTGGTGTGTTGGATTGTGAGCCACTGGAGCCCAGATTTGAAGAGAGTTCAGTACTACAATGAACTGAAGAAACACGTAACGATTCATGCTTATGGGAGAGCCTTTCAAAAACCTATTGGTAATGAAGACTTTGTAAAAATAATTTCTGCTTGTAAATTCTACCTCTCCTTTGAGAACTCCTTCCACAGAGATTACATCACAGAGAAGTTCTTTAATCCTTTGACTTGGGGAAGTGTTCCGGTAGTTATGGGCCCGCCAAGACACGTGTATGAGGGCCACGCCCCAGCTGAGTCTTTCATTCATGTCGATGACTTTCCTTCTCCAAAGGAGTTGGCAGAGCGGCTACTTTACCTTGACCAAAATCACACCGAGTACATGCGATTCTTCAACTGGAGAAGCACGTTTAAAGTTAAAGGCGCTCTGTTTGGAAGAGAAATCGCCTGTAAAACATGTCGATACTTACAAAACCACAAGGAGTACCAAGCTTTTAATGATCTGAACACTTGGTACTGGGGCTAAGAGGGTGTGAACGCTTCATTCAAAATATTACACTCTGTATTTAACTTTATTTGTTGCTAATAAAGTGTCCAAATAGAGACAGAGGGTCAGAAGTGATAGTAAGGGTGAGTTCTGTTGTGCATGTTGTTCAAAGAATGTTCTTAGAAACAAATAAATTACATTTTAGTAAGTAACACAAAAGCTCTTTTCAATGTTTTTTCATTGGTTTTATTTAAAATGCTTTTTGCATTCTTTGCCATGGTTGCTGTCTCAATAATACAACGAGGTGGATAGAGTTCAGGTACTGCAATTAAAGGCACTAAACATTAACATTAACTACTCGATGCATTTCTCAAAAGCTGTGTCCAACACGAAATGCTAACTGTTATATACTATGATTTGTTTTTTTGGTCAATATGTCCCTTGTCCTAATGTGTTTCTCTGCTTCTTTCAAACCAGACCAAAGAGAAGCAATGGACTAACCCCAATAGTTTTCTTCTTTTTTGTAACGTATACTCATTCATTTTTGTGGGGTGATTATATATATATATATGTGTGTGTGTGTTAGAATCTTTTATGTCTTGCCCTTTGTACTTATTGCTATAGTGGCGAGTTACAATGATTATCAACCTGTCAATCAGATTTGTTTTTGAAGCGGTTGACAGGTGTGTTAGGTGTAGGAACGGTTATTGTTTAGGGTTTTTCAGAGGCCGGTGCTAAACGGTTCCTGATCCGAGTACAGAGGGTCGGGAGTGATAGAAAGTTGTGTTGTTGTTCAAAGAATAGTCTTCGAAACATTTGATAATATTACATTTTAGTAAGTAACACAAAAGCTCTTTTCAATGTTTTTTAATGGTTCAAGATGCTATAAAAGGTATATTTGTGTCTTCATTATGCAAACAAAAAAATTGGTATAATGGGCGGGGCTTACGACGCTGAATGAACCAGGAGTTTCTATTGGTGGATCGAATGGGCGCTCGGTGTCTGCTTCCACCATTAAACACTGAGGGGAGGAGACTGTCATGAGCGACACAGGAAAGTTGATTTTGTATTTTGTCAAAACGATTTTAAATGCAGCAGCACTTTTTCATGTCGTTAGTGTCGCAGTCTTTTATTAAAGAACATGGAGAGCTGCTGTGTTGACATGAAGCCCCACTTTCTGCGTGCATGTGTGCTCAAGTTGGAAACTGTAATGTTTAAGTGTCTCCAAGGAGACCTCACTGCTAACTACATAGATACCGTGTGTTTGCTTCGTTAGTGGTATCGTGTCATGCAGGTAAAGTGAGACAAACGTTAATCATTTTCTTGTGGTTTTTGATTAAATGATTGATAAAACTTAAACATCCCATTTGAACGGTCTCTCACACGACCTCAGGTAATAGCTTAATTTGTTTCAATACAGCCTGTGCAGTACATTGTAACATCCTTTTACCATGCCCATACATTTAAAATACCTTTCCAGTATGATGCACGTGAAGCCACGCAGGCTCTACGACATCTGTCAATTTCAAGGGCCACACCTGAAGAGCCTCAGAGACAAAGGCGGGGCCGGAGTCAGGTGATGGAGAGATCCTCACTGCAAACCGCATCAGCCTGCACTCGTGTCAATGAGCCAGTTAATTGGGTCTTTAGTCTTTTACCTTGATGGCAGCAGTACAATTACACAACGGTCATGTAATTGTGCCTTTATTTGAACTATACTATAGTATTACTATGTAGGTCAGTGCTCGCACGGACACCATCACATTCCAAGTAGGCCACATCAAAGTCATGAATCTTTTAAAACACTCCTGCAAACTGCCATTAAGTATGGTGCAGGATTTGATAAGAGTGGGATAAATGTGTTAAATAGTTGTTTTCAAGAGCATGGTTCTGCGTTATAATGTGTTTATTTTGTGCTTATTTTTATGTTTTTCTATTTAGTAAAACAAACAAAATGTTCCAGGATAATTTTATACAGCTATTTATGCCACCTTGTAATAACATGAGCGAGCAAAATAAACACACAACTATCAATTTACTGTGCTTTATTTGTGATTAGCTAAAAGTGCATACTAAAGACAAAGATGTGCATAAAGTATGTCGATTGGAAACTTCCTTGTTACACCCCAGTCTAGGGGTGCCTAGGGTGCAACATGGATAGGCCCCAATCTTCCCGGCTGTGCCGTTGCCCATCCCCAATATAATAAACAAACCAAAAAACGATCCTAGCTAAAAATAAGACGCTGACCTACCAAAACAAAGGAGAAAAATAAGGACACCAGTCTTAACTACCTATCTACTTTAAAACAGGAGAAAACCAACTCAAAAGAAAAACGGCATACTTCTTATCAGGCTTCACAATATAACACAGGTGGCTGGTTGGGAGAGGAGGACGACGAGGGTCGTCGAGGGTCGAGGGTGTGCTGCTGCTGTTCTCCCCACTCTGGCCTGCTCTGCCTCGGACGCCATCTTGGCTTCCCTTATATGCAGGTACTGCAGCCGATCACAGGACGGGTAGGAGACCGTCCACTAATCCGCGCATGGTTGTGGCACATCCCTGTTTGAATGAAGGAAAGGGAAACCAGAAAGACACAAAAGGAAAACCAAAAACACACATATGACCCTAGTCATAACATTCCTCCAAAAAATGAAGTCAATTGAAGGACATGCATGTAGATGTCCCGTCCAAAAGAAGAGGCTACAGTGACCCCTCCAGGCTCCAATTGTGATTATGGCAAGTGCCAAGGACTTCAGTGCCAAACACACACTTCTGACAGTATGGCAAATAGTGCCTTTATTTACAGTTTTGGCATATAAAAACATGCCGCTTGCAAAAAAGTGCAGTGATCTGTCCCGAAAGACCCTCTTACGTCTGAAAGCACGTCTCAATATCAATGCTTCTTCATCAAAACGTGGTTCAGAAATGGGCATCATAGTGCAGGAAGAAACACTGGTGAATGGGACTTGAGGGAAAAGAGGTTGGGGACCACTGATCTAAACAACTGCAATAGTAGGGTTTAAAATCAAACTCGTGACAGATATAGTGACAAGTAATGCATGTTGGAGCAGCAGCTGATTGAACACATGATACTGCAGGATTAATCTTAGCCTGGCTTTTAGCCTGGTCTGGAGCAGGCTCCAAGTATTCAGATGGAGACTTGATTTCTGTGGCCTTTGGGAGACTACCTTTCCATTGCGGGACTGCAAGGATGCTCTTTTTCCACTGCAGTCTCTTGGCCCTTTTTGTTGCATGTAGAAGAGGAACTAAAAAACAAGCAAATGTCCTAAGCATAGTATCATTTTTTATTGCATTTTCTTGTTATTTGTAATTATCATTGCATTTTATCTTTTACTGGTAATACCCGTCGCAGCAATTTCACCCTCACTGTCCTCATCCTCATTCTCATCCTCGTTCATCAGCCTCATCACTCTCACCTTCTCCTTGCAAGTTTGCCTGCAGCTTGTCTTGATCACTTAAAAGCACGATAGTCAGGTGACAAGTTCAAACACTGCTATTGGTTCCTTACGGTCAACCTCAAACCCACACATTCAAGATAATTTCCTGTCAACCTCCAACGTCCCCCATTCTGTTTCACTTAGTCGAAGCAACAGAGGAACTAGCTTTTTAACCATACATCTTCATCCAGTTTGTCTAGGATGTTTAATTAATCTATTTTTACTCGTGCCATCAGTCGAACAGAGGATCCCTCCTTCTTCTTCTTTAAACTCCTCCACCTGAGGCTCAGCAGAGACCAAGAGCACAGTAAGAGGTCTACAATGACTATTTTAATCTAAACAAGTTCGATTAAAAAAAAAAGATGAATTGCAATCAAATGTAGCTTTTTATGTTAATTCTGAGGCTGGTAGACATTTTTACAGTGATCAGTTGAGTTCGGAAACGTTCCAAGAGACATTTTGTGAAGCATTTAAAGTTCTTACGCCTTGAAAATGTCCATCAACAGTGCAGTGCAAGAAATGCATTCATATATATTTAAAAACACAAACAAACCAGTCTGGAAGGGTCTTGGGTCTCTGACTTATACCAACGCATTTCTCAGAATTCACTGTGTGCAGTTGTGGTAAAATTAGAGGTTTGTAAACGACCTTGACGCGATGCAACGCTATGCTCAGTAACGCAACACAAAGACTCTGTAAGGCTGTCCTGTCCTATATTGCATTATGTTCAGTTTAAGTCATATACAATCAATGACAGTGAATCACAGTTTGTAGAATGGAGTTTATTACATTTCAAGAAAACAGTAAAGAAAGGTATGTGTAGGCCTCAAAAAATGAAGGGGGTGGAGGGGGGGACAAAAGAACAAGGAAACAGGCCCAGGTTGTGTTACAGCGGTTACAGCTGAACCGTGTGAACATGAAAATTCACACGGTTCCTTAACCATTAAGAGAAAGCTCCAGAAGTCAACGTAATTAATGAATCCATCCGAACAGGCGGGCTGATCTGCAAAGCGCGGGGAACTTGAGGTGCATAAACGGCACTTCAAGGAGGGTAAATGCTATTTAGAAGTGCGGAAACGCTATTTGCAAAATTCCAGAGGTGCGTAAACCCCGTTTACGTGCGTTGACCCTCCACTAAAGCCCTGACTGTGTGTATATATTCACTGTTCACTGTGTGTATGTATGTATGTCAGCCGTACAGCCCCTCCTTAAATTTGGAATGCCCAGGACACAGGAGTACCACAAGAGAGATATGTATAAAAAAATACTTTCATTCTTATATTAAGACGTTAAAGGTAATTTATATTTTAAAAGCAGTCTTCCAATAAGTTAAACGTCCAACAGGAAAGTCCAGTCACGAGCTGTGAGACAGCTGGGGTCCATTTGCAGTCAATCCGGCCGTACTGTGTTCAGTGTAGACTGTAGAGGGCTTGGTGTGACGTCGTGGCAACCGTCCTTTAGCTCAGGAATTGTGAGTATTGATCATCCAACAACTGCGACTCTCGGTGACGACGGCGGGCTCTCGTCTGCTTCCATCCATTGCAGCCCCGTTCGGTTCGTTCGGTTCCTCCGCCATCATCTCATTGTTCCTGCCGCTGCCAAAGGTCAGCAGCTTCCTCTTTTTATACTGCAGCACACTAGTCACCACAAACCAGAAACACATTACACTCACCCAAACATTCAGGCTGACATATATATTTGGTGTTTTCCACATTCTAGTGAACCAGAGCATAGAAGGTAAAAACTAACCCATTTGTCTTTTGTAAGATTATATCTAAATAAGAGTTGATACATTTTTACTTTTAAAATGAAAAATTAAGTGAAAATGAATATTTCACTACAATTAAGGGTGGGAGCAAGAGTTTGATAACGTAAAATATTCCTTTAATAGTCCCACAATGGGGATAATGCCAGGATTGCAGTAGCAAAGTGAACAGTGCACACAAGATACATGGTACAAAACAAGAGCAGCAGTAATAAGTAAGATAGAAATAGTAAGGTAAAAAATTATTTAAATAAATAATAAATGAATATATGTATATGTGCACACAGTGTACTCCATTTGACCACATCCGTTTCTGAGATCAATGACGGTGAACTTTCAGTTGGTCTGCTAGATGAAAGTATGTCACTATGTAAGTATGTCCACTGGGGTGGAAGACAATCGTTTGTGGTTTTGTCAGATACATTTTGTGTATTTTGGGATAAACTTTAAAAGATTGGGAAATATAACACTTCGAAAACACCTTTTGAAATGACAGACAACTCAACACATTGTCCATTCAAATGTTGTGTCTACAATTGCTGCATCTGTTCTGTCTCTGAAGGTGAGCCATGTCCTGTTCAGCCTCCCAGTGGACTCCTCAGCGTCCTTTTCTCCTCCTTTTGGTGTTGTGCTTCATCTGCCTTTTCATCTCGTACAAGGCCGACATCACCTACCCCGATTTTGGAAGAGTTGGTCAGTTTTGTCCTGCCTTCCTGTGTGCAGAGAGAGCACAGAGCCATGACTCAATCCCCAGCAACTCCACAGAGCTCCTCAATAAAACACATTCAGGTCCGACCGAGAAGCTCCAGGCGGCAGCAGTGGACGCTGAGCCCGACACAGTTGTGCTGGTCTGGATGTGGCCGTTTGGCTTCAAATTTGAACTCAACTGCGACATTTTCAATTTCACAAGATGCCACTTAACAGATAACAGGGAACTTTACCATAAGGCCCACGGGGTGGTCTTCCACCACAGGGATATACATGGAAGTTTAGAAAACATGCCCAAAGTGCCACGCCCCATTTTTCAGAAATGGGTTTTGGTAAAATATGGAGTCGCCCACCAACTCAGGTAAAATCACTGGACTGAATGAGCTTTTCAACTTGACATGCAACTATCGGCGTGATTCAAGTATCCCAGTGCCTTATGGGTATCTGTATCCCGTGACCTCTGCAGAGGAGAGTTTCAAATTGCCAGTAAAGGACAAGTTGGTGTGTTGGATTGTGAGTAACTGGAGCCCGAATATAAAGAGAGTTCAGTACTACAATGAACTGAAGAAACACGTAACGATTCATGCTTATGGGAGAGCCTTTCAAAAACCTATTGGTAATGAAGACTTTGTAAAAATTATTTCTGCTTGTAAATTCTACCTCTCCTTTGAGAACTCCTTCCACAGAGATTACATCACAGAGAAGTTCTTTAATCCTTTGACTTGGGGAAGTGTTCCGGTAGTTATGGGCCCGCCAAGACACGTGTATGAGGGCCACGCCCCAGCTGAGTCTTTCATTCATGTCGATGACTTTCCTTCTCCAAAGGAGTTGGCAGAGCGGCTACTTTACCTTGACCAAAATCACACCGAGTACATGCGGTTCTTCAACTGGAGAAGCACGTTTAAAGTTAAAGGCATTCTGTTTGGAAGAGAAATTGCCTGTAAAACATGTAGATACTTACAAAACCACAAGGAGTACCAAGCTTTTAATGATCTTAACACTTGGTACTGGGGTTGAGAGGGTGTGAACCCTTCAATCAAAATATTACACTGTGTATTTAACTTTATTTGTTGCTAATAAAGTGTCCAAATAGAGACAGGGGGTCAGAAGTGATAGAAAGGGTGAGTTCTGTTGTTTTGCATGTTGTTCAAAGAATATTCTTCATTTTTTCTAAATTTGATAACATTACATTTTTGTAAGTAACACAAAAGCTCTTTTCAATGTTTTTAATAGTTTATTTGAACTTTTTACATTCTCTGCCATGGTTGCTGTCTTAATCGTACAATGAGGTGGATAGAATTTAGTATAATCTATCATCAAGTCATGTTTTACCAGTTTATTCAAATGGTTGTTTTATCAAGAGTTTTTCACAATGATGATCAACCTGTTTATCAGATTGAAAAAAGCGTTTGACTGGTGTGTTTAGGAATGGTTATCGTTTGGGTTTTCTTAAACGGTTCCTGATCATACTTTCTTTTTTTGAAAAGCACAAAATGACGATTGACGACATTAAAGAAATGGTTTGTTAATTGCAAGCCATTTTTTTTCTTCAAATTGAACATAATATTAATTGTTTAAACAATACTAAATAAATATTAATAGATAATTAAAACACTTGGCTTCAAACTACAAATTCTAACATTTAACTTCAACCTATGAACACTATATTAATTGTTAACAACGGTTTACAGTACACTTAGTGTTTCTCCTCTGCTGGAAGTGTATATATTAGTTAATAGGAATTTGGCGAATACTAATTTAATTTTAGAATTTTTCTCATTGTGCAGGAACTAAAGATATGAAACATATATTAAAAATAATTTATGTTAGATTGACACTTATTGTTTGTCTCGATTTATTGAAACTTCCAGACAGTAAACATTCCAGTAGTCGGAGACTCGCCCTGACCAGAGCGCAGCGTGGGGCGGCGTGGGGCGGCGTAGGGCGGCGTAGGGCGGCGTAGGCGAAGCCCAAATCTCAATGTATTTTAGGACTGAAATTATAATGTCACTCATTAACTTCATCAGTGATTGGCTGACTGCTTCTAAGACGCGCATTGGGACCGAGCCCAGCTGAGATCAACGGAAAGGATGTGTAGGAAAAGCATATATTCTGCGCAGATATCGTAATTTACAAATAGTACTGGGTATTTTTCATGTTTCAAAATCACTAATAGACACATATTGAAAACTAGTCAAATGTATTTTTTATATAATTAAAAAAATTCTAATCTTTTTTTTGGGCACAAGGTGGGGCCACGCCCCATTGCCCTTTATGGACCAGCCACCAATGCTTCCAGACTTGAATAATTAGAACGTAGATGGATAGCTAGCTACTGTAGCTACAAAATCGGTAGGCTATCGTTAGCTGCTGTGAGGGTGGATCCATCAGAGTAGAGTAAAAAAAGTATTTCAATTTGCTCAGGCACCGAAGGAAGCACCAACATCTGCGCAACGCTCCGGTACGGTAGGTACCGGTCAAATAGTAACCGGTGTTACACCCCTACTGGTTTTTCCACCTACTGGTTTCCCTACGCGTGCGTGTTTGTGTTCACTCCACAGCTGCAGATGTGTCCGCCTTAGTTCCCTGATTCGTCACACATTCACAAACATATTGCTGAAAATCTTCAAAACGCATCACAAATCCATTGCAGCGTTTACGATTGTATAAGTGAGCACCACATCACGGCCACGTATGAAAACATTTATATAAAAAAATATATTAAAGGAAAGATCGGCACAACCTGGATTCGAACCCGGGGGATCAAAACATCAAAATAGTAACCTAGCATAGCGCCAGCAGCAGCTTGATACGTTTGCATTTTGCTGCATGGGTTCGCAACCTGGTCGGTTCGATCTTTTAATATATTTTCTAAACTTTGTTTTGTTCGTGTCTGTGGTTTACGTCACGCGATGGTCGTAAGAAAACAATATCCTTTCTTTAGGCTGAAGCCTCGTGAAGAAGTAGCGTTGCACATGTCCTGAAGCGTTCCAAGACACGCCCAAGGTAACCAGTTGTTTTAAATCCACGACACCAAAAGGTTTCCTCCATGCTGATCTACGTCAACAAAATGAATAAATTATACTAAGGGTCAATAATTTGCTGTGTGTCTCAGTGGTGCACTGCTAAGAGCGGCCACCAGGTTACTATTTTGATGTTTTGATCCCCCGGGTTCGAATCCAGGTTGTGCCGATCTTTCCTTTAATATATTTTTTTAAATAAATGTTTTCATACGTGGCCGTGATGTGGTGCTCACTTATACAATCGTAAACACTGCAATGGATTTGTGATGCGTTTTGAAGATTTTCAGCAATATGTTTGTGAATGTGTGACGAATCAGGGAACTGAGGCGGACACGTCTGCAGCTGTGGAGTGAACACAAACACGCACGCGTAGGGAAACCAGTAGGTGGAAAAACCAGTAGGGGTGTAACACCGGCCGGGCCCCGCAGCCGGATCATTTTCAGGATAAGATGACGTAGATCAGGCTTTTTGGCCCCCCGAAACAGGTTTGGCTAAATTACCAAAGCAACACATGCGAAAACTTGAACCTGCTCCGGCGCAGGTTAATTTGAGCCAGCTGGATTAGTTCGCCACTCACTCGCTTCCTCTTTGATGAGAGGAGCGATATCAGTTAGATTAACGTTTTATAGGGAGTTCTCCCAGATCACAAAGACCTTTTATGACGTCACAATGGCGTCCTGTACGAGCGCTATCGATGCTGAAGACAGCACGGTTAGTTTGTCAAAACAATCCCTATGTGGCCACGCTGATAAAAAAAACTCCTGTACTCTATGTGGCCACTGCATATTTCCACACAGGACCTATCATTAGAAAAAAAAGAATACCAGGATGCAGAGTGCTACCTCTCCTTTCTCCCTAGGTAACACTTTTTAAAATCGTGTTCACTTTCCTAATCATGTAGTTTCAGCCTTTGTCTTGGTTGTAGATTGTTGAGAATGCGTTCAGTGTTCACCGATTGTTTTGAACAGTTATATAAGTATTTTGAATGGTTTTTGTTGTTGAATATGTTTGCATTTGTTTTAAGAAATCCAATTTTATGTTACTTTTATTTACTTGTATTTTTCAAAAAAGTGATTACTGTTAAGTGTGTTTGACACTACTTAGCCTTTCAATAATATACTTTTATTAAAGTTAATCTCTTTGAGTCCTTTTTACGTTGCCAATTTTAAGGGGTTTTGTTTTGAAATCATCTTAGCAGTGTCATACATTCTGCAGTACTGTAAAACATTTTACAGTAATTATCTGTTCATGGGCATCACGGTAGGATATTGCTGTTTCTATACATCACTATACTGTGTGTGTTTTTACAGTAGTATGCCGTTGTTGTAATTTACAGTAGGTATGCTGTAGAATTACAGAAGAATACAGGAAATGTGGCTGCCAGTAGATTACTGTAAATTTATGGGAAAATTCGTTACACATTTAGGGGCTAATACGCAAATTGTTCAATACAAATTATTATTACTTTTCTTGTCATGTTGGACTTCATTTCACTCAACCGTCAACCTCATCCTGTCAAATTAAACGAATCCTTACACAACAGGATACATCCTGGTCAGATATGTTATTTTGACACGGGTGACAATCATTCATGGAATGTTCCCTGTTGTGTATTGATTAATTACATTTTTTAAGAATGCATTGATACACCTTATACACCGTCCTCTTGACACTCGTGCCGTAGTTGAACGTCATCACATATTCTTCTTCTTCACACTCCTCCACCTGAGGCTCAGCAGAGACCAATAGCACAGTAAGAGGCCTACAATCACTATTTTAATCTAAACAGGTTTGATTAAAAATAAGATAAATTGGAATCAAGAAATGAATCTTTTAATGTTAATGTTGAGGTTGGAAGACATTTTTACAGTGGTACACTTTTTTTGCCTTGTGCAAAGCAGACAATAAAGCTAACGTCTCAACTAAAGCAATAATGGCTGATGGATTTCGCAGACCAGACTTGATAATTGGCGGCCTTTTGAACAGGAATATAATATCTTCATAGCAGCGGCGCACTCGACAAGACTGCTAGGACAAAGGCATATATCCTCCTCAATCTCACAGGAGCGGAGGCCAGGTGAAGATGGAGCTGTTATCGTTCCGGCTGAAAATCCAGAGTGCTTGAAACGGAAATTCCGGGTCTGTAACCCTCAACACAACAAAACTATGGAGAGACACAATTATTCAAATCTGCCGCATATATAAAATGATTGAGGAGAGTAATAACGCTCTAGCCCAGCCCCAAACAGCTACCACTGTTGACGCAATTCAGCCAAACTCCAGTGGGTGGCACAACAGGTCAAGAGGTGGCAAATACAGCTCGGCCACAAGTCATTAATGCTGACCACATTTAGTACGTCTTTCAGGCGCTACAGATTCCTCCACATGCCATTTAAGCTTGAGTTCAGCAAACAAGGTGTTCCGGGTGTCAATATGCCAACCCAGCTGCACTGGACAGTCCCCCCTCCACGCCGCATACACCTCAACTGGCTCCAGCAACACCTCAGCGATCCACCAGTGAGCAGCGGAGGCCTGCAGCTCACTCTCCTACCGAGGTCACACTGGGTAACTCACTGTATGCGACGCGCTCAGGTCGCATTTGCAGGCCGAACCCAAAGTATGAACAATAAACATTGAGCTATTACAAGTTGAGGATTAAAAAAAAAAAGCAACCACGACCAGCTTTGTGATATCACACAAAATTGCTAAAACAGTAAGCCATTCTCGGAGGGGGAGAGCGATTGGTAGTGTGGATAATGCACCCAGTGATGTTCAGCTGGAACTCACTGACCTGCAGTGTGATGCGTACTGGCAGAGCATTTTAACTCAGGATCACTGCTGGATTCTTACGCTCTCTCAAGGAGGAGAACTTTCCAAACGTAAGGAGACGTGCTCAGAAGATGTTGGTTCCCTTTGGCTCCTACATATGTGAAAATACATTCTCAGTGATTTTGCAAAATCCAGGTATAGATCCTCTCTCAGTGATGATCATCTGGCAGCTGTGCTTCACATCTCCACCTCAGACATTCAACCTGACTTTGATGCACTTGTGAATGCCCCAACAGAGACTAGATTTCTCTCACTGAACTGAAAAAAATCCAATGAGGTGGTAAGACTAGAAATGCTGGCACGTAAAGGCACCAACTAGCAGTGAACTGGGACACTTTCTTTGGAGGCCTTTTTCTAGAAATCACACTACAATGACAATCGTTATAATATGATGTATCTTGCTTACTGTTTGGAGCACCAAGACAATATTGTGGTGTCTTTAAAAAGCTAAGAACATTTTTCCAACAGTAGGCTATATGTAACTCAAACGGTGTTTTGGGATGGATGTGGCTGAAAATGACTCTAATATAATGAGTCACAAATGGTAAAAACGTTTGTTTTGGTGTTTCTGGATGATTTTTGTTTTGCAGAAATGGTTATCCTCCAGGGCTGAATTCAAGCCCAAGTCAGACCTCTAGTGGTGGGTGGGGAAAAGCGTTTCCTTCTGAATTGTAAATTTAGGACCATTTCACACTCACAGAAAGAGAAATTGTTTTTTAATGCTTCATTGGCAAGATCA